TTCTGCCTTCTTTTCTTTCTTCCTTCTTGCCTTTTTCTCCTTCTTCTCACCTTGCCTTTTTCCCTTTTTTCTCATTGTTCATAGGAAAGATAGGTCGTCACCAATATATTTGGGTTTAATTTCACCACCAAATCTAAAAATTGAAGAGATTGAGACCTTGGGTTTTAAGAGACCCTAATTCAAATTTTAAAAAATTTGAAAGTATTTTGAGAAAAATTTATGTTTTTGATGTTTAAAATTGAGAAAGAAACATTTAAACGGTTTAGAATTGAGGAAATTTACTAAGGAATTCAGAAGATTTGAGAGGAAAAGGTATTTGAGTGCCACGATTATGAAAGAAAGAAAGTTTCAAGCAAGTTTAAAATAATATATCTATTGATAGATGTTCTCCTCATCTTTTTATAGATTACATTCAAACTTTTAATAGCGAGTTGTATCCATTGATAGATATTGAGATCTATTGATAGAATCTTTTATCTATCAATAGGTTTTTTTCTTTGGAGAATTTTTTTATTTTTAATTTTTATAAGTTTAAGGTGAAAATAAATATTTACTAATTTTACACATTTTAATATTTAAATAATTAATAAAAAATATTATGTTATTTTTTTAATATTATTATTTTCTATTTTAATTGCTTAAAGTTAAAAAGTTAAATTTTATATTAAAAATTATAAATTTATTTAGTTTATATGTTTTTTATACACAAGGGTAATTTTACCAATTTATATTATATTCTTAGTAAAGTGCTCATAAACCAAAAACTACAATGTAATCCTCTTAGCAATCACATTCCCTGCAATTAGTACTTTTCCTAGTTATACCAAATGTTACATAGTTTTATTCTTAATAATCACATTCTCTCAATAATCACATCCTTAACAATACACTAATCGTAACCTTACTTTTGTACTATGTACACAATTTATTTTTCTTTAATGTTTGCTTACACAACTATTCTTTCTGCTAATTTCTACTCAATATTGTTATTTGATTTGTCTTGACACTTTAACTGATCAACTCATTACCATAACTAAATTTCAACTTCTTTTATAATCCTTGCAGACTTTTTGTCCGACCCTGAATAGCAAGAAATTTTGCAACTTAGATCACTAACATGCCCAAAACTACATTATAATTTTTGTTCATAAGCATGATTGAAAATTGAACACTGTGATGTTCACTTTTGAATGAGCACAAACATCTACAAAAATACAACACCATGACATCATATTCATTTTGTTGACCTGCCTTAACTTTTTGTTGACTGGGTAGGAATGGAT